AGTTGAACCAAACATGCAGGCAACCTTCACAGCTGCTGTGCACACACCGTTGGACTTCTCTGTATCCACAAGGCACCAACAGTTTGGTTCACTTTGAGGAGCTTTGAGATGGAGGTCGTTTTGCAGTGTTATCATTTCTATCTCCACCTCCCCAGCATTCAAGCTGAATGTTGCACTTAGCTGCTCAGCAATGCATGCAATGTCTACTTGCACAAAAGGATTGGAGATGAATGACACACATGGCTCAAGTTGATCAAAGTCACGAAACCTGTTCTCAAACTCTTGTCCAAGTCTGTTAATGACTTCAGAGTATTTGTCCACTACTTTGTCAAAAGTCTCAGATGCAGAAGCATGGTCATTCAGCACTGACTGCACAGCAGGAAAGTGCAGCACCCTTTTTTTCTGTAAATGCAGAGAAAATGTTCATCTTGGCTTTGAATGCATTTACAGCACGTATCATGTCAGCAACAGTTTTACCTTTGCCTTGCAGCTCACAGTTCTAATGGTTAAGTTTCCCAGTGATGTCCGTTAAAAATGCAAGGTCAAGAATCTATTCAGTGTCCTCCAGCTACGAGATGTCTTCACCTTTGGATTGCATGAACTCCTTGATTTCACACAAAAGTGAAAAAAAAACGTTGTAAAACCCGTCCCCTGCTGAGCCATCGGATTTCTGTGTGTAGTAACAGGTCGCCATATTCCGCTGACGGCTCCTCCAACAGCACTTTGCTGTTTGGCTTTGGAGCGGATGCTATTTATGATCTTCTCAACAGGAGTCATCACGCGCTCAAATCCGGTCACTTTTGAACATATCGCCTGCTGATGAATGATGCAGTGGTAATGTAGAAATGTTGGGAAGTCTGTGTCACCTTTGCAGTGCGCGATGAAACCTGCGTGCCGGCCGATCATGGCAGGAGCCCCATCTGTAGTCATGGACACCAGCTTTTCTAGTGGTACTTCATTTTCCACAAGAAAACTCTTAACTGCGTTGTAGATATCAACCCCCCTTGTAGTTGTCTGGAGGGGCAGCAATGCCAGAAGTTCCTCTTTTGTGGAGAAGTCATCAAAAACCATACGAATAACGACCATCAGCTGTGCTGAACTGCTGCAGTCCACAGACTCGTCACACTGGATGCTAAACCACTTGCATGTTGCCACATCCTGCTCCAGCTGCTCTGTTAAGTTCTGACATAGCCTTCACTCTTCTTACCGTTGTACTTGCGCCCAGTTGGACGTTGGAGAGAGTGGAGATGACATCGGTTCCATTCTTCTCATCTTTAAATACAGGCTTTGCGATTATCATCATTGCTTCTTTGAAAACTTCTCCATCTGAAAATGTCTTCTTGTTCTTAATCAAAAATGACGCTTCTGTTGTTTTTTGTGACTTTTCCACCGGCTTCTTGAATAAAGACTGCTGTTTGCCCAAAGCTGCCTTTAACTCACGTGCTTTTTCTGTCCGTAGTGCGCTGCTAGGTGGGTAGCTAGCATTGTAGCTTGTATGACAAGTACTGAAGAGTCTCTCCACATTGTGCTGCTTTGCTGTCGCCACAGTCGTACCGCAAATGAGACACACACATTTTTCTCTCACAAGCGTAAAAAAGAAATCCTCCTCCCAATCACTAGGAAAATTATATGTTTTCTTTCGTTTTTCAGCCATTTTCAGTTGGTATCCAGATCCTTATTGCAGCCGCACCCGCCCGCTAGCTTAACGCCAAATTAAACTAGTAGGTCAAAGAAAGTTCATGTTTACGTCTTCTTCTTCTACGGTTTTTATTGGCAGCTTGCAGCCTGTGTGATTGCACTACTGCCACATTCATGTACTATTTATATGTCGATGGTAAAATATAAAAACATACAAAATATAAAATTTTTTTGTTCTTAAAAATGATCAGTTAATAGTTTCATTTTCAAATAAGCATTGATGCAACTGTGACTCAAAAAGAAGAGCAACACAATAAAATAATGAGATATCAAGTCAAGTTCAGTGGTGACTAGTGCTATTTTTAGAACATAGCCAGCGGGCACCCCATGGTTACCCCAAGAGCACCTTGGTGCCCGCGGGCACCACGTTGGTGACCCCTGCTCTAAACATTGGTTCATGGGAGTCTCTAACCAGCAATTTGCTCTTTAAGTCCTCATGTTTCCTCCCACAGTACAAAAACATGCACATTAGGGTAATTCTCTTGATTTTCTATATCCACAGTTATAATTGGTTATGGATAACGTAAATTAACACCTTGCTTGTGGTGAATTTATCTGTTTTTACTTCTTATCAGGCAATACCTGCAGAAAACATGGCAGCCCAGGTGAAACCTCCCTGGGGGGAATTCCTGCACTCCTTATTTCCGTGCTGTTTCAGAAAAAGTGATCAACCACAAATCATCACCCCAATGATGGAGCTGAAGCCCGCACAGCCAATGCCTAACCCACAGGAGCTGAACTCCAAGTTCAGTGAGCTGGTGGTATGTTCAGAGCCAAAGTAAATATTTGTTTTCAGAACAAGTCATTAAAAAGTCTTCCTCTTTGTCTCTCGTATTCAGGATGAACTGGAGCTCTCAGAGGAGCACAGAAAAGCCATGTTTGCTCTGCCAGCTGAGAAGAAGTGGCAGATTTACTGCAGTAAGAAAACGGTAAGAACTGAAATATGATGTAAAAATCCTCAGTTGCAGCTGGCTGATGGCTCATGTACGGCTGAAAGTGGAAAAATGAGAATCTGGTGCAAAAGTTTGATTATGCCAGTAATCCAACCTAAAACTATGGTCAGTGACCTGTACTTGTATAGCACCTTCTAGGGTTCCACAACCCCCAAAGCACTTCATAACACAGTTAGTCATCCACCCATTCACTCCCTGGGGATGATGAGCTACAGTGTAGCCACAGCTGCCCTGGGGTGCACTGACGGAAGTGAGACTGCCAAAGACAGGCACCAATGGTCCCTCTGACCTCCACCAGCAGGCAATGCGGGTTAAGTGTCTTGCCCAAGGACACAACAGCAGCTTCCTCTGGCGGGAATCGGGATCAAACCTACAACCTTTCAATTACTGGACAACCCACTCTACCTCCTGAGCTACTGCTACCCAACTGTCAAACTAATCTGAGACATACTCATTCCATGCAAAGCCAGATATTTTAGCTTTCATTTGTTATAACTGTGATGATTATGGCTTACAGATGATTAAAACCCCACATTCGAAATCTTAGACTATCGTGGAAAGGTTCAGTATTCTAGACTCTAATCAGCTGATGAATCCAGAACACCTGCTGAGTGTTCCTGAGCCTTTAGATGGCCTCTCAGTCTAAGCTGGATTACTGACATAGATGGACTTTAGCACCAGATTCTCATTGCTCCAGTTTCACCTGTAGGCAATACCATGTTTAGTAACACACCTGTTGTACAGGTAACATATGTGACAGGAAAGAAGTGTGTTTTCACGCTGACAAAGAATCAGAGGACTCCATTGGTCTAAAAGGAAACTACAATAATCAAACTTAGAAGTAATAAATGCACGTGTGACAGATGTGTCCTGATCTGCTCAGAAGTTGTGTTTTGGTTTGAGCAAGTCGCCACACACACTCTCCACGTTTACCGAAACCAAACCACGGCCCCGCGTTGCTTTTCAACACGCTTTTATTTAGAGAAGATGAAACAATCCTTTACATAGCGCCTCTCAAGATAAAACTCACAAGCCCGTTCATGAGGACAAAAATTTAAAAATGATTAAAAACAACAAAAATGGCAAAAGTAAAAATTGCGATAAAAATGTGAGGAAAGAGAATAAGAAAATGAAAAAGAAAGAGGTCATCAGTGGGTCCCGGGGAAGTCAGAACCGGTAGAAAGAGCTGAACGAGGAGAAGGTAGTGATGAAGAATCAACCGAAGGTCACACCAAAGCCAGCCTGAACAGATGAGTTTCCAGCTGGAGACCACAGAGTCCACTGATCGCAGAGATCTGAACAACAAAAAACACAACATCCCATCCATGTGTGTCCCACAGCTTCACACAAGGGTCTCCACTAGCACACTCGTTACTCTGCTCAGGGATCATATAATGGTTTGTGACGTTTGGTGGTTACTTTTAATAAATTGTCATTAGAATATAAAGGTATGCAATGTAATTTTATATTCCATAACAATATGAGTTATAAATATTATTGAGCCTTTAATTTTCAATTACCGATGAAACTAGGTACTTTGGGTAAGCCAGTGAACCAACACTTGACACAGAGCCAAACATATAGTTTATAAAGATCAGTTTATTACTATACTTCTATTATTAATGATGATGAAGGGCAAATGATTATAAATGGTAACACAGTGATAATAAATGAGACAATTAATGAACTCTGATGAAACATGGCCTGGTGTGTTTAAGAGCTTCACTAAGTGACTCAGAAAGGTGCATGTCTGGGTTTATAAAACACATTTGGCTGTTTGTTTGATGTAATTTAACAAGTTATCAAATTAATATCAACCACCCTGATGCCACTGAACAGCTTACGCACCAGGATCGTGGAAGTTCTTGGAGATCCAGTCTGTAAGCAAAGCCATCTTGGCAGAGCGAGTGAGTGGACTTCTGACGTATCTGAAGATCGTAGACACTCAGCATGCGCACGACTGCTCACAAGATACTTCCCAGGTGGCTTCTGGTGGACGGTTTCCCATCTGATGAGTGGGTGGTGGATTGAGCAAATAATAATTGATTCAAAAAGGATGGTTCATATGCTGCTGAAATTATTCCACTGAAAAATCTGGTTCATTCCCATAGGATGGTCATTTAGCATGAGCTGTGAGCTCTGGCTGGAACTGGGGAAAATAGTAAGTGAGATCACTTTTAAGTAGTGTTTGTTTATAAACTTGGACCTACCAGATCTGAGAAATTTGTATAGCATTTACCACGACCCTCAGACATCACACCTTCCTCTCAGAAGAGCCTGAATTCATTCAATGTGGCGTAAATCTGTCCACCATCCGGTGCCTGGTGGTGGTGGGGGTGGGGGGAGCAGTGTGCTACCAACACTATCTGTAGTAGGGACGGTGTGCTGCTGACCTCTACTCACAACGTTGTGGATCGGTGGGCAGAATACTTCGAAGATCTCCTCAATCCCACCGACACGTCTTCCAGTGAGGAAGCAGAGTCTGGGGACTTTGAGTTGGGCTCTCAAATCTCTGGTGCTGAGGTCACTGAGGGGGTTAAAAAGCTCCTCTGTGGCAAGTTTCCGGGGTGGATGAGATCCGCCCGGAGTTCCTTAAGGCTCTGGATGTTATAGGGCTGTGTTGGCTGACACGGCTCTGCAATATTGCGTGGACATCAGGGTCAGTCCCTCTGGACTGGCAGACCGGGGTGGTGGTCCCCTTATTTAAAAAGGGGGACCGCAGGGTGTGTTCCAACTACAGGGGGATCACACTCCTGAGCCTTCCTGGTAAGGTCTATTCAGGGGTTCTGGAGAAGAGGGTCCATCAGATTGTTGAACCTCAGATGCAGGCACGGATAAAGTAAAAATGGGTTTAATGACAGGATACGGCAGGAACACCGAGAACAACACGACAAACAACAATGACCCGACAATGACTGATACAAGAAGGGAGGTATAAATACACAGGAGAAAATCAGGAACACATGGGCAGGTTAACAAGGGGCAGGTGAGACAAATAGAAACTAATCAGGAGGCAGGGGAGAGTCACAGACGGAGGGAGGCATGAGCAGATTGTGACAGTTAATGCTTTATAATTCCGACCAGACATGGAGACAGAGGTAAAAAAGAGAAAGGGGCAATGATGAACCAATGATGAACAAGAGTCTGCTTCTAGACCTGTAGAAAGAGAAAACCAACACACAACAATACATCAGGAGCAAGCTATCACTGCGTCAACCTGATGAGGAAATCTAAAATCAACATTGTTTAACTGAACAATCACACGATAACAAATCACAGTGCATTTGGTGCCAACCACAGCCTTAAGACATGTGTTGAACGTGCCCAAGTCCATACTTATGAGAGCACCATGTGAGCACCTGTGTGTGTACACGCGCTTGTTTATGTAAGGTTCCTCTATAGGAGCGTCCAATAGAGAGTGTGAGGGACCACAGATCTGCCCCCCAAAGATGTGTAGGAGACGGGGGGAGCTCCAAGTCCCAGAGATCCAGGCGCTGCCCCAGAACACAGGAACCCCAAGGAGACTGCAACCAGAAAGGCCCCCGCCCCCCTCGAGAGGCACAGAGGATCGCCCCGGGGGGCCACAACCAGCAGCCGGCAGAGTCCCAGGAGACATCAGCGGCAAGCCCACAGGCCCGCCCGCAGCCTCCCACCCCCTAGCCGGCCGAGCCTGGAACCCAGCGACCCGCGACCCAGGGGTGACCAGCCCCGCCGGGGACATAGAAATATCACGTCTCTCCAGCTGTTTGAATCTAGGCTGAAAACACATTTATTTAAAGCTGCCTATGCAGTGTAATTGTGACCGAATGGTTGTGTTATGCTGGTTGTCTTTAATTTTTTTGGTTCTATTGTGTTTAATGGTGTTTTATTAGTGTATTTCATTGTGAATGTTTTAATGTATGGTGACCACTGATGTTAGAAAGGCATCTGAAATAAAAGGAAATAATAAAAACTATTATTATCCTGAAAATAACAGGATGTACGTGAAAAGAAGCCAAAATAGGTGCGATGGTGTCTCTGTCTTCTTCTTGTCTAAAGGTAAGTTGCTGCAGGTGGAGATCTGACTCATTTAAACCAAAGTAAAAAAAGTAGCTGTAATCTAAACCAGACGTTAGACATGCATGAATAACTCCTTAGAAGGATGGTAGGACTTCTCTTTAACTAGAATCCTGAGATGAAAGAAGCTTGTTTGGACAACAGCACTTACCTGTTTGTTATGCTTAAAGGAACTAATAATAGTAATGTCCCTGCCTTTTGTATTTTTACCTTTTGTTTTGCATCTCTAAACTTTTGATTTTACTAAACATAATAATTAACAGTTTTTGATGAGACACAAGAAGTTCAGTTCCATCCATGATTTAAAGTTAAAGTCCCATTAGTCATCACACGCTGGTGACATTCCTCTGCATCTGACCCATCCCCGTGGGGAGGGGTGAGCTGCGGCTGTGGCTGCACTCAGGAACTATTTGGTGGTTTCACCCCCAATCCAAACCCTTTAAAGTTGATTGTGTAGCAGGGAGCCTTGGGTCCCATTTTGAAGTCTTTGGTATGAACCTCAATTTCCCAGTCCCAGGGTGGACACTTTACCACTAGGCCAGTGAGAAGGTTTGACATCTTCTTGACAGTTTTTCATAAAAGATGCAACTGTTGAGAGGGAGGAAGTTGGGTTTGTTTTGTCCAGAAAGCAATACAAATAATTGTTTCACTTCACCCAAGATGCAGCATATAAAGAGAGAACAAGAGAGGGTCTAGAAATGAACCCTAGGGAAAGCCATAATGTACTGCAGGTGAGGATTCATGACTGAGATGGACAAAGTCCTGCCAATGAAGTAAGACTAAAAAAACCTGCACATAGCTGGAGGTTTGAGGAGCATCTGGTGGTCAGTTGGGTCAAAAGATCTAAAAGAACTTGAACTAATTTGTCCACCTGAATCTCTGGTTTAAATTAGATCATTACAAACTATTACATTTGCTGCTTCAGTGCTTGAAGTTTTCTAACATAGAAAAACTCAAGAAGATTGCAACTACTGATAGACCTACTAGACAGAAAGTAAATTCCCAATGTTTTTTCTTATTTAGTCTAACTTGATTCGGGTGTCTACCAATGATGATTTGGGTTTTTTTGTGTCTTTCAGGAAGCAGATGAGAAAGGAGCAACTAGTTGGCCCGAGTTTTACATAGATCAGATCAACTCCATGGCTGCTGTAAGTGGAACAGAACCATACTCTATTACGTCATGGCAATAATTGCTGCTTGTTGTTATAGTTAAATAAAAAGGACCTGAAATGTTTATGCTCATGTATTTAGCAGACGCTTTTCTCCAAAGCAACTTACAGGTGATAATGAGGCCAGCAGGTTGCCCTTGAGGCTAACAACAAACACTAATCGCTTCGCCCTGAAGGGGGGGGGGGGCTTCTATCTTCAGAGACACATTTATCTGTAAACAGTCAGTGTCTGGTTATTGTGACTCTTTTGAATATCTTTGCTTTGAAGTTAAAGGTGCACCCAAGTTACTTGCACTTATCTACAGACCACCAGGACCCTCTCAGACTTTCCTGGGTGACTTTGTCGAGCTCCTTTCTGTCATCACTATGGATTACGCACATCTTATCATTAGCGGTGATTTTAATATTTATGTTGATAATGCTACCAACAGATCTTCAGTACATTCCTTGATTTGGTTGGGTTGTTTGACCTTAAACAAAATGTCCCTGCTCTAACACACTCGACCTAACCCTAGCTAGAGACGATGATGTGTCAAACATTGTTGTTAAAGATGTGGGACTATCTGATTATTTCTGTGTTTTCGCTAAGACATCAGTCTCACCTGCTACACTTATATCTACAGTTGTTTGAAAAAAATGTACGTAGGTGACCACGCTGCTTCAGCTTTTACCGAACAGATGAACTTATCAACACGTCCAACATCCAGCTGTGTTGAGTAGCTCTGATCCAGCTTCATCTCCAAAACCCTTGAAGTCCTTGACACCATTGCACCTGAAAAGGCCAATCTTATCTCTGGCAAACAGAAAGCTCCATGGAGGTTCGCTAGATCTGTTACTGACCCAAGACGAGAATGTAGGAAAACAGAGCGCCGGGTCAGGAAAACTAACCTACCAGATCAATGTCAGACCTCCAAAATGCAGCTGCATACGTGTAACATGGAGATAAAAAAGGTGAAACTAGCCTTTTTCTCCAAAGTCATTAGTAAAAACATTAGCATTTACTGTATCCTGCTTGCTACTGTTGAAAGGCTAACTAACTCCCAGCACAGTTAGCCTGATTTCATATCTCGGACTAAGTGATGAATTTGCCTCCTTCTTCACTGACAAAATCTCCAACATTAGATTAGCCATTCACTCTTCTAATGCCGGGATCACACTGTGTGATTTTTGGCCATCTTAGCCAAATCCCTCACCCTGAGCAGAATGATGACAAATACATTCAACGTCAGGGTGATTTGCATATATGTGCACCATGCTGTCAACGTACAATGTGATCGGCTCTGCAACAGCTTTTTGAGCCGTGTCACGACCAAATCAGCCTCCAAAAGTCTACAAGAATGCTTGAAAACCTTCAATTCTTGTCTGCAACCGACCAATGAAAACACACCTTTGGCATGCCGCAGCAGCAAGACTCCGCCTCTCTCTCTGTCTCTAACAGGGCTTGCTGAAAAGCCTGGGGTCATGATGAAGTTCTGGATTTAGCCTCAGACAGGCTCATGGCTGTTTTAATGTTCTGGCTGAATCTGTGCTCCGCTGCCACACGGACTAACAAGCGATCCTGGGGGTGATGTTCATAACTGGGGAGACTGCTCTGTATTTATGGTCTCTCAATAGAAGGTTCTATTTGAATTTTGAGAAAATTTGTTATTTTAAAATGACTTAAATATGCTTTAATCATGGAGTAGGCTAGCGTGACGTATCTCTGAATCACCGCGGCGCAGCTCTGTGGAAGGCTGAGCGGATGATGCTTTTGCCACTACATTTTGTTAGGGGTTATTTCAGCCAAATGTTTTAAATCGCTCACTCCTGCATGCGCTCTTCTGCACCCATTGGTCGTGGTTCCTTGAATTCCTCTACCTGCTGTCTGGACAGCTTGCCTACAAACTTTTTAAAAATATTTTTAGTTGCCTGAAAGCTGAGGTACTGGAAAATGTTAACTGCTCTTTAATGTCAGGAATTTTTCCTAAAACACCGAAAACTGCTGCTGTGAAACCCTTCTCCCTGTCACCCCGCTTCTCCTCCAGCTTCACTGGCTGCCAGTCACCTTCAGGGTTCATTTCAAGATCCTGGTTCTGGTCTATAGGGCCTTACATGGACAAGCACCATCTTACATTGGTGATCTTCTTAGTCCCTACACCCCCAGCAGGTCCCTGAGGTCCAGTGACCAAAGCCTACTGGTTGTGCAGCACCAGGCTAAAGGTCAAAGGTGACGGATCATCTGCTGCTGTGGCCCCCAGACTCTGGACCTCTCTCCCCCTGAGCCTGAGATCAGTGGACTCAGTGGTCTCCTTTAAAAAGCAGCTGAAGACTCACCTGTTCAAGCTGGCTTTTGTATGACCTTCTTCACCTCTCTCTCTTTATTCTGCTCTCCCCACCTATTCCACCTTCCTCAGGATCCACTGGTTTCCCTCTTTCCTGTTCACTCTCTCTCTTTCTTTACATTTTTAATCACAACTGTCTATTTTTTCTCATTTTAAATATATTTTTAAACATTTTCTAAACGCTTTTTATATTTTTACATTTTTCGTTTTTTTATCTTGAGAGGCGCTATAGCAATGATATTTTCTTCTTTCTTCTTCTTCTAAAGAAGAGGAAACGAGATCCTCAGTGTTGAACAACCGACCGATCTCTAATCTCCCTCTGATGGAAACATCATTGAAAAGGTGGTAATGATCCAAATAAACAACTATTTAGAGTCAAATAACATCATGGACGGTCTTCAGTCAGGCTGTAGACAGCACCACAGCACAGAGACTGCACTGATCAAGGTATGAAACGACATTCGTCTCAACACTGATCCAGCTAAAGCATCTGTCCTGATGATGCTTGACCTCAATGCAGCTTTTGATACTGTGGACCACAACATCCTTCTGGACAGACTCACACTGGGTGGGACTATCAGGCACAGTGCTTGAGTGGTTTCAGTTCTGTCTCAAAGACAGGGTCTATGTTGTCTCTATTAGAGACTACCAATCAAAGTCTCAATTCTAGGACCACTACTCTTTAATCTCTTTATGCTCCCCCTGGGTCAGGTCATACTTGATAACATCGCCTATCATAGCTATGCTGATGACACCCAGATCTACCTAGCCCTATCACCTAGTGACTGTCGTACACTGGACTCACTCTGTCAGTGTTTGGAACAAGTAAACGACTGGATGCAGTCAAACTTCCTTCAGCTAAACAAAGACAAGACTTTCACTCGCTCGTGAACAAGACCTGAGATACTTAAACTCCTCACTTGGGGAAGAACCTCATCCCTGACCTGGAGACAGCATTCCACCCTTTTCCGACTCAAGACCATGGTCTGAGATTTAGAGGAGCTGATTAAATAAAACATTTTCTTTTTATTTCAGTTTAAATGTTGTGTAGATTAGACTGTATGCTCAGATCTGCATCAATAAGTTATAAACAGTTTAGCGATTATCGATAAAGTGAAGAGAATATACCAGTCTGGGGATTATTGATTTATTGGACAAAATCTGGGGCAGCAAAAATAGTTTCCAATCGTCTTTAGCTCTAAAATAAATGATGTTGCTATGAAACGGTAGCTCAGAGTACACGTCTGACTTATAAATTCATTGGTTAAAGACTAATACTCTTTAATTGTTGGTAAAAGTCAGGACAAAATCCTTAATCTTTTTAAGTGAAGGCTATTCATTGTCTCCAACAGAAAGTACTCTAACAGTGTTTTATTCTGTTTATAATAATGTGACAGTTGATTCAAGCCCTGTCTCTCCAGAGAAAGTCTCTGCTGGCATTAGAAGATGAAGATCAGAGCAGGCAGAAGGTCATTGATGGTCTGAAAACAGCACTACGAACTCAGCCAATAAGGTTCTTGTTCTCAGTCTTACTGGTACTTGTTCTGTGGACCTCAGATAACTGCAAAATGACATGATCTGATTTCTGGCAGGTTTGTAACAGGATTCATTGAGCTGGATGGTCTCTCCTGCATCCTGAACTTTCTCAAGTCAATGAACTACAAGACATCTGAGTCTCAGATCCACACATCTCTGATTGGCTGCATCAAAGCCTTAATGAACAGCTCTCAAGGCAGAACTCATGTCTTGGGACACTGTGAGAGTATTAACATCATTGCACAAAGTCTGGCCACCGAAAACATCAAAACCAAGGTATGAGAGTAATTTACTGTCTGTGAGGGTACAGACATTTTATATTATGTTCATTTGAATTCTGTTATTTCAGCTTCGAGGAACCTTAGTCAGTGAGCCGTCTAGGAAGAGTCAGGCTTTAGAATGAAAGAAAACAAACTAGAACTATGTGCACAGGTTTCAGCCTCAGGTAAATAACTTCCTGCTCTACCTGTCTGAGCCTGAACTCCACCCACAACTCAAATAATCTGTGAAACAATTTCCTGCTCGACTTGCCAAAAATATCTCACATCGATTCATCTAACCTTGAAAATGTTGACATTTAACAAGCTCACAGCTGCATGACCAGAACAATCTACAGACAGACCCAGAGCAGCTGAAATGACCAGGATAGGCCTACTGGGGTGTGAGAATCACAAAAAAGACTCAGAACGATTGGACCAGTCATCATTTCTACAGACGATTAACAGACAGAACAAAGTTAATGGCAGCAAAAACAGTAAATAAAAGCATGAAGAGGAAAGAGCAGATGTGGTTAGTACATCCTCCAGCAGTCTAAGCCTATAGCAGCATAACTAAAGAGATGAGTCAGAATAACCCAAGATAACCCTAACCAGGTGTCTGCCTCATGGATGAAAACTGGAAGCTAGTTCCACCTGTTTAGGGAACAACAGCATAACAAGTTTATCCCATGATGTCTAATAATGAATTCTTCTGAGATTAGTTGATGACGTAGACCATATATGGTCAGCAACAAATGTAATGTAAAAATTTATATCAGTTCATATTTTGAATCTTTGTTTTCCTCTCAAAACTGCCACTGTCCGTCCACTGCTTTGGCTGTCCTTGACAGACATGGTGACACCAGACAGGCATGCTCTTCGGTGAAAGACCTTGTTACCAAGCCAACAGTCAGCATTTAGTTGTGTTTTCTTAAGACCAGAACCACTTTTTCTTTAAAGTTCATTAGAAGGTCAAAAGTCATTGAATGAGCTATTTTCTTATTTGTATTAATTTTAAAATATTACATAAAACATAGAAATAACACTTCAGGTTAAAAGCTAACAATGGTTACATTAGGGTAGCTGCATGCTGTTATGCAAGTCTGGTACCTGTACAAATACCAGTCCTCTATAGATCCTAGTCCTTTGTTTGAGTGCAGTACACACCACAGTCCACTAATTGGACCAGTATAGACCCCAGTCCATTCTCAAAAATCTGTTTAAAACCCAGTACAGACCAGTAAAGAGACAGGTCCATGTTCTGAACCAGTATAGCTCCCAAGCCCCTGTTGCACCAGCAAAGATACCAGTCCCCTGTCTGGACCAGTATACAAACTAGTCAGAGAAGACCAAATTAGCCTCTGTGAGTTCAATCTTATAGCTTGACTTAGCTTACGATTCCTTGGCTTGTCTTGACATAGCTTACTTATCTTGACTAGACTTTGCGATAATTACTTGGCTTGAGTTAGCTGTGTGATAATCGACTGTAACGCTAGAGCTGTGGCAGCAGAGAGCTTCTGTCGGGAGGAACACAGGAAGGAATAATGGAGCAGGCACAGGTCAGCATGGCTGGGTAAATGCAGAGGGACACGAAAACAGACCAGGAACATGAACCATGACACAAACCATCCATATTGTTGAAGAGAGAGTAGATGATTCAGTTTCATGATAAAATGTGAATCGTGAAGTCCGATTTGAACTCATCCCATTGTGTCTTCAGGTGGCTGTTTTAGAGATTCTTGGAGCTGTGTGTTTGGTACCAGGAGGCCATAAGAAGGTCCTTGAGGCTATGCTGCACTTCCAGGATTTTGCCTCTGAGAGAACTCGTTTCCAGGTCTGCTGTTGTGTATACTATTATACTATTACTGTTGTAACCTCATTAAAACTAAATTCAGTGTTGACCCTGAGCTCATATTTGAAATCTTCCTGCATTTCTGGACCAAACCAAATTAATCTGAAGACAAAAAAACCATCTCAGAAGTGTCTTTGTATTTCACTTTCTGATTGTGATCAAATGTTTCTCCATCATTTATGTCACAAACCATTCAGTCAGTAAAGTTAGTTAAGTTCCAACAGATACTTTCATAACTCTGAGGTCACACAAACAGACTTGATTAACTGCCTTACTGCTTCTAAAAAATAACCATCCATCCATAAATCCATTCCATAAAAAATAGACATGCTGCAAATGACAATGTCTGAACAAATAAGACAAAACTGAGCCTGATAAATGATTTCACTAACTTTTTAAGTCTAAATTCAGAAAAGACAGAGGACATCATTAGGGCTGCCATGATTTGTCGACTCAACATGATGGCATCGACAAACAAAATAGTCGACAATTTAATTAATAGTCTACCTGTTATTTTATATAGGTTTTTTTCATCTCGCCTGCTGCGGCACGTTTGGCGGCTTCTCCCTTCCTTTCTGCTCAGCCGCCGCTTTAGCTCATGCTAGTGCATGTGTAATGGTGGTGTCACAATGCACTGGTGAGTGGAGCGGAGGTAAGGATCCAAACGCTGGGTAGGAATCAGACAGGCAGACAACCTGGGACAGGTAAAGTCTTTTAATAATAAACACGCGCAGGACATGGGAACAATGAGCCAACAAGAGACACAGAACTGAAGGGGTTTAAAAACATGAGGGCTGGGAGCCTGGGTGATTGGAAAACAAGAGGCAGGTGGGAGCAATTAACAGAGACACATGGCTGAACAGAATGGGGAGACAGGACAGGGTGTGACAGTCCCCCCCCCCCCCCCCCCCCAAAAAAAAGGGCGGATTCCAGACGCCCATAGGAACACAGAGCAGGGTGGGAGGAGGGGGACCCGGAGGGAGGGCCAAGAGGGACCGATGGAGAGGAGGCAGGGACCAGTAGAGTCCGGGGGCCTGCGCCTGGGGCAGGGGAGGAGGCGACAACGGGCCCTTGGGGGCCTGCGTCTGGCGAGGGCAAGAACGGCGGTGACCGGAAGCAGAGACGCTGGAGGAGACGTCCTTGACTTTTGGACTGGAGGCGGCAGCGCCGACCACTGGGCTGGAGACAACGGTGTCGACCACTGGACTGGAGATGGCGTCGACCACGGGACTGGAGACGGCGACGTTTGACTGGAGAAGGAAGTGACGCGCCACCATCAGCGTCAGCCTGAAGAAGCCGGCAGCCGTCGGCGAAACTGTAGCTACAAACAGGTAAACAAAACTGTTTCTGTGTTTAAAAAAGAACGAAAGAATGGAATTAGAAAGACACAGCAAGAACACACCTAAGATGACTGGAGGGACGTTGACCTCTGGACTGGAGGGGATGTCGGCCTCTGGACTGGAGGGGACGTCGACCTCTGGACTGGAGGGGATGTCGGCCTCTGGACTGGAGGGGACGTCGACCTCTGGACTGGAGGGGACGTCGACCTCTGGACTGGAGGGGACGTCGACCTCTGGACTGGAGGGGATGTCGGCCTCTGGACTGGAGGGGACGTCGACCTCTGGACTGGAGGGATCGTCGACCTCTGGACTGGAGGGATCGTCGACCTCTGGACTGGAGGGAACGGCGACCTCTGGACAGCAGGGGACATTGACCTCTAGATAGGAGGGGACGTCGACCACTGGACAAGAAGGAGCGTCAACCTCTGGACACAAAGGAGCGTCAACCTCTGGACTGGAAAGAGCGTCAACCTCTGGACTAGAAAGAGCATCAACCTCTGGACTGGAAAGAGCGTCGACCTCTGGGCTGGAGGCGGCAGCGTCGACCACTGGGCTGGAGGCGGCGGCGTCGACCACTGGACTGGAGACGACGATGTCGACCACGGGACTGGAGACGGCGACGTTGGACTGGAGGGGACGTCGACCTCTGGACTGGAAGGGATGTCGGCCTCTGGACTGGAGGGGACGTCGACCTCTGGACTGGAGGGGACGTCGGCCTCTGGACTGGAGGGGACGTCGACCTCTGGACTGGAGGGGACGTCGACCTCTGGACTGGAGGGGACGTCGGCCTCTGGACTGGAGGGGACGTCGACCTCTGGACTGGAGGGGATGTCGGCCTCTGGACTGGAGGGGACGTCGGCCTCTGGACTGGAGGGGACGTCGACCTCTGGACTGGAGGGGATGTCGGCCTCTGGACTGGAGGGGACGTCGACCTCTGGACTGGAGGGATCGTCGACCTCTGGACTGGAGGGATCGTCGACCTCTGGACTGGAGGGAACGGCGACCTCTGGACAGCAGGGGACATTGACCTCTAGATAGGAGGGGACGTCAACCACTGGACAAGAAGGAGCGTCAACCTCTGGACACAAAGGAGCGTCAACCTCTGGACTGGAAAGAGCGTCAACCTCTGGACTGGAAAGAGCATCAACCTCTGGACTGGAAAGAGCGTCAACCTCTGGACTGGAAAGAGCGTCGACCTCTGGGCTGGAGGCGGCGGCGTCGACCACTGGGCTGGAGGCGGCGGCGTCGACCACTGGACTGGAGACGACGATGTCGACCACGGGACTGGAGACGGCGACGTTGGACTGGAGGGGACGTCGACCTCTGGACTGGAGGGGACGTCGGCCTCTGGACTGGAGGGGACGTCGACCACGGGACTGGAGACGACGGTGTCAACCACTGGACTGGAGACGGCGTCGACCACTGGGCTGGAGACGACGGCATCGACCACAGGACCGGAGATGACGGCATCGACCACTGGACTGGAGACGGCGTCGACCACGGGACTGGAGACGGCGACGTTGGACTGGAGGGGATGTCGGCCTCTGGACTGGAGGGGACGTCGACCTCTGGACTGGAGGGATCGTCGACCTCTGGACTGGAGGGAACGGCGACCTCTGGACAGGAGGGGACATTGACCTCTAGATAGGAGGGGACATCGACCTCTGGACACAAAGGAGTGTCGACCTCTGGACTGGAAAGAGCGTCGACCTCTGGACTGGAAAGAGCGTCGACCTCTGGACTGGAAAGAGCGTCGACCTCTGGACTGGAAAGAGCGTCGACCATTGGACTGGAGAGAGCGTCGACCTCTGGACACAAAGGAGCGTCGACCTCTGGACACAAAGGAGCGTCAACCTCTGGACTGGAGGGATCGTCGACCTCTGGACTGGAGGGAACGGCGACCTCTGGACAGCAGGGGACATTGACCTCTAGATAGGAGGGGACGTCGACCACTGGACAAGAAGGAGCGTCAACCTCTGGACACAAAGGAGCGTCAACCTCTGGACTGGAAAGAGCGTCAACCTCTGGACTAGAAAGAGCATCAACCTCTGGACTGGAAAGAGCGTCGACCTCTGGGCTGGAGGCGGCAGCGTCGACCACTGGGCTGGAGGCGGCGGCGTCGACCACTGGACTGGAGACGACGATGTCGACCACGGGACTGGAGACGGCGACGTTGGACTGGAGGGGACGTCGACCTCTGGACTGGAAGGGATGTCGGCCTCTGGACTGGAGGGGACGTCGACCTCTGGACTGGAGGGGACGTCGGCCTCTGGACTGGAGGGGACGTCGACCTCTGGACTGGAGGGGACGTCGACCTCTGGACTGGAGGGGACGTCGGCCTCTGGACTGGAGGGGACGTCGACCTCTGGACTGGAGGGGATGTCGGCCTCTGGACTGGAGGGGACGTCGGCCTCTGGACTGGAGGGGACGTCGACCTCTGGACTGGAGGGGATGTCGGCCTCTGGACTGGAGGGGACGTCGACCTCTGGACTGGAGGGATCGTCGACCTCTGGACTGGAGGGATCGTCGACCTCTGGACTGGAGGGAACGGCGACCTCTGGACAGCAGGGGACATTGACCTCTAGATAGGAGGGGACGTCAACCACTGGACAAGAAGGAGCGTCAACCTCTGGACACAAAGGAGCGTCAACCTCTGGACTGGAAAGAGCGTCAACCTCTGGACTGGAAAGAGCATCAACCTCTGGACTGGAAAGAGCATCAACCTCTGGACTGGAAAGAGCGTCAACCTCTGGACTGGAAAGAGCGTCGACCTCTGGGCTGGAGGCGGCGGCGTCGACCACTGGGCTGGAGGCGGCGGCGTCGACCACTGGACTGGAGACGACGATGTCGACCACGGGACTGGAGACGGCGACGTTGGACTGGAGGGGACGTCGACCTCTGGACTGGAGGGGACGTCGGCCTCTGGACTGGAGGGGACGTCGACCACGGGACTGGAGACGACGGTGTCAACCACTGGACTGGAGACGGCGTCGACCACTGGGCTGGAGACGACGGCATCGACCACAGGACCGGAGATGACGGCATCGACCACTGGACTGGAGACGGCGTCGACCACGGGACTGGAGACGGCGACGTTGGACTGGAGGGGATGTCGGCCTCTGGACTGGAGGGGACGTCGACCTCTGGACTGGAGGGATCGTCGACCTCTGGACTGGAGGGAACGGCGACCTCTGGACAGGAGGGGACATTGACCTCTAGATAGGAGGGGACATCGACCTCTGGACACAAAGGAGTGTCGACCTCTGGACTGGAAAGAGCGTCGACCTCTGGACTGGAAAGAGCGTCGACCTCTGGACTGGAAAGAGCGTCGACCTCTGGACTGGAAAGAGCGTCGACCATTGGACTGGAGAGAGCGTCGACCTCTGGACACAAAGGAGCGTCGACCTCTGGACACAAAGGAGCGTCAACCTCTGGACTGGAGAGAGCGTCGACCTCTGGACTGGAAAGAGCGTCGACCTCTGGACTGGAAAGAGCGTCGACCATTGGACTGGAGAGAGCGTCGACCTCTGGACTGGAGAGAGCGTCGACCTCTGGACTGGAGAGAGCGTCGACCTCTGGACTGGAAAGAGCGTCGACCATTGGACTGGAGAGAGCGTCGACCTCTGGACTGGAACCTAAAGG